AAGTCTGCAATGTTTACCTGGAGAAAGCCTTAATTAGAATAAAATATAAAATATTTGCTAGGAGATACTACGTTTTTTACTATTTTTGCAATTTCTTTTGTATAAAGTAAATTAACCACTTCACAGTATTTCCTTCAGATAAAAAGAATAGAAATAACCAGAAACAAAGTGGAGATAAACAATTATGTGTAAATAGGAAAGCAAGAAATAAAACAAATATAAAGGGAACAGTACAAGAAAGCCGAATAGCTTAGTGTGTGAAATGTTCGTTTACTTAGATTTTGAAGATTGGAAAGTAAACATTGATAAAATAATATTTATAACATTCAATATGCGTGAAATTAAGACTCAGATAGATTCCGTAAACCCAGTATTACAATTTGCAACGGCAATTTCCGCGGTTGGGCGTGTCCATGAATGAAATAGCCTGCTGTTTAAGCGTTGAAATTGTATTCGCGATTCGAGGGTTAATGGAGCCTTGACGCTTCGATCGAAGGCGTTCATTCCTCGCCGATGATTATAACCGAGTCAATGAGACGCGTCGACACTTTCCTACGATTAAGGTTCGAGGGGATCATTATGGGCCGCGTGTGTTGCTCGTAGGCTGCGCGGCAAGGTCACCGCGATTGAAAACAGCAAATTCACCTGACTGCCTTCGGCGCGGCGAACGCAGACGTTTTAGTCGCGAGCCGCGTCCATGAAACTTTCATCTGCACCGTGTTCCCGATTTACGGATGAGATCGGGCCTCCACCGCCGCCGCTGCCACCGTCGTCACTGCCGCCACTGCCGCCGCTGCTGCCGGGGCATCTGAGGAAACTAATTATCGCCGACATTTTCACTTTTCTTTGTCCGTTTACCGCGCACCTGAGCATCTTGACCGACGATTATCTCGATTCCTCCTTCTTGTTCGGGTTATTATTGTATTTCTCAGCGAGGCAAGCGCTATCGGGGTATATACCAATCTTGACCCAGATATTGCCGAAACTAATTTTCTGCCGGCAATTTTTTATTTCTCTTTTTTATGAATTTCAGCGTTTTCGGTAATATGAAAGAGACGAGTATTTGCTTACTTTTTATGGTTCATTGATGCACATAATATCGCGGTAGCATTGGAAGATCCATTTGAGACTTCAAAGTAAAAATTTAATTTTTTGGTAGAAATGGAAGATGTTATTGTTGTTAACAGTTTTTGTTATTGATGCGATTCGAAGCTTGTAAATCGAAATATACAATGATAAAAAAGAAATTGTTTAATGATTGTTTATATCCTTTTCCATTGGTGAAACCTAGAACTTGTAAATTAAAATAAGTGATAATAAAAAAGAAGTTATTTGAAAATGAAAGTTCCCCGATTAATCTTTTATTGACCCCAATTATGAATGTTCAATGAAAAACAAATATTTTTTATGTCTAGGCAATTTTCTATCTATCTATTCCTATTGTAATGGGTTAAAGATATTTTAAATACTTGTTCAGGGAATATATGTTACTACAACCCTTAACCTGTTGTTTTTATTATGTACTTAACTTAAGAATGAAATTCACAAGTTTTGATCACAATTTCTAGCTATTCCTAGTATGATTTTCATTAAGTTCGATAGAGAGATTATTGCGACGGAAATACTGTAATAAAAAAAAAGCCACGGACTTTTCTAAGCAGCTTCCCCGATAAAGAATGTCGATCATCCGACCTTGGTATGCTAATGGTTAAAAGGAGAATAATAAAATGCGCAACGTCAAGTGAGTTATGAGAAAATTTATTCTCCGAGAAATTCAAATTACTTCTAAAGGGATGGCAGTACTATCTAGGTTAAGGGGTTGGGTAAGCCCGCACGATTGCTACGAGTGGAAACTGCAAATGATATTGTTCATTTTTAATGCATTAAATATTCTTATAAATATTTTCATTTCTTTCCTCTAGTTTTAAATGGACAGAGTAATATTAAAAGAAATGTCCTCAACAATAAATAAGAAAAGAAATAAAAATTATAATAAATTATAAAATACACTTCTTATACTTCTATTATATATTATAAAACGAAATTTGTATGAGATTATCTGGTACGATCGAAAGTATAAAAAATTAGTTTTCATCATTTCAAGAATAATGTGGGGTGGGTATTGTGAGTAGGGATAGTTAATTGTGACGAACTTATTAAACGTATAACATATTTAATGTTAGATATATATGTATTAGGGTTCACCGCACTACGTGCTACGCTATGAAGTCATTCGCTCTCTCGTCGGAGTCAAACACCCTCGCTTGGTCGCTCTCGCCTTTTACCTTGCTTTGCACTACACACGCACATTTTTTCTGAAAGAAACACACGCACTCTTGGCCCAATTTGTAAAACTAAAACATTCGTCCGACGTATCGTTCCAAACACTTCAGCAGGCACGCGGTTCATACACATTCATACACACAACGCATACAGGCTCGGCCACACCACATAACCATGAAAAATGCCAAAATGTTTAAATATGTGATAAAATTAAAATTACTGAATCGTAAAAAAAGTAAGTTCTGTTGTAGACAAGGAAAGTACCATTAACAGTAATTCAAGGCTAATAATGACAAAATTTATTGAACTATTAATACTACTAGTTCTTCCGAACAGGTTGAACTGGTTTTTTCTAATTTCATCATACAAACTCCAAAAGTGCATATATTGAGGTTTAGTGTAGGTTTAGTGTTAATTAACAATAATTCTTAAGGGCAGTAATAATGAAGATCATGGTTGCTTTCAATAGTAATATTGAAACGTATATTTTTTCTCGGCTTTTAATATCGCGCATGCTAATACGGGTGACTTCAATTCACATGGAAACTATCCCCTTCATTTCAAAATATTCTCGTCCACGAGGGGTTGAAGGGCGGAATACGAGCAACCCTCTCTGGGAAACGTATCCGCATACTGGTACATTATGTAAATATGACGTAAGCGAACAATCGCGTGGTCGGTTACCGATGGGACAAATATAATCGGTGTATATTATTAGGATGCCGCGAAAGTTCCGTTCGCATGTGAATACCGAGCCAGAACTCAATTTTAAAAGCACCTTGCATTTGGGGATTGAATTATTCGCCAGCTGGCTCGGTTTACATCGGAACGGCCTTTGTTGCGGTGGGATTTTCGGACGTTACAGTATTTTCGCTTTATGTCGCTATGAACATCGACCAAGGAGGCTTGTTTACGTAATGATTTAATGTTTTAAAGGGAACGTTCGTGTCTGAAATTATACATCACGCGAAACTGCACGATTAAAACATTTGAAAAGATCTTCACCCACCGGCGATTATTTAATCATTTTTCAAAAGCCATAGTTAATGGCTAAAAATTTTTTAATCGATATTTTTGTACCAGTTACAATTACAATCGTATAATTGTAATTATAAACAAATCCATTTTAAATGAATCTTTGATAAACTTTTATTTTAAATGTAAATAAATTATAAATGATGAAATTAATAATTTATAATTATCCATTAATGATTAAATTTTTCATTTAAGTCATTGCGAAAGAACATGACGTAATAATATTTTTTAAAGTCATGGCTCCAATGGTATTTGTTGAACATTTTGTCAATGTAGTACAGATATTAAAAAAAGAAAAGAGTAACTATTAGTGTTTCTGTAACGAGTCAGAAAAGCTTCGAGCACAGTGTATGTAACGGCATTCATACGCGTCGCGTTTGTTCTCACACGAAAGGGTTCCGAGTTAAGTGGATAACCCCGTATTTGACAGCGGCTTAGGTAGGAAACCGCAGAATTAATATAATATCCGTTGAAACCAATTAAAAGGATTTGTTTGAAGATTTAAACTGACTTCCAACAGCGATGAAGGGGTTACTGAAGCATCAATTGTACCGAAAATCAACTAACTCTTTCACAAAATAATAAATTAACAGAAAACGTACCGAAGAATTGTATTTTTTCTTTATCCAAACCGTTTATTCTTGCAATAACAATGAATTATTCCTATTTTATACGTGGAAAAGTAAAACGTTAATTTCAGCCTTAACTCCGTTTTCGTGTTTCCATTTCGGGTTTCTCCACTTTACTTCAAAGATGAAACAAAGTCATCGGACGTAATGATAAATATTGGCAAGACTAAGAGATGTACATTTTATAAATAAACGCTAAATATATTTTAAACCGACACTCCATCGTTTCGTACACGGAATATATCGGTGTGTTCACTTTCAAGTCCGATCTCAATGATCTTTTCTTCTCCGGTGATGTTACTTGGCATGGGTTGACAGAAATCTTGTAGCACATCATGAATTTCGTTTCTATTGTTCGTGCTCTATTCCGTTCCATCTTCTCTCGACATTTATTAGAGTCGATGTCGCGAAGTCTTCACACGAGAATTGTTTAGCGATTTCATTAGACGCCAGAGACGTTGCTCCTTTCGCGGCAGTGTCAGCTTTTTCATTGCCGAGCGTATATCTCGACGAGACAGCGCTCATCCGCTAGATTGTTACTCCGCGGTAATCAATTAACGATGGCCGCGCGTTCAGTCGTTTTAATGTTTCCAAAGGATCGTTTGCACCCAAGGCAATTACGCTCCGCGCGAAACGGAATGATAAAGAAAAACCGGTGAACGAGTTCGAGCCACGCGCGCATCGAAGTGAAATAAGAAAGAAGAATCGCGGCTTTACACTCGCAAATTACGCACCGCGCGTCCCATTAATTGGTGATTTAAGTAGAAAACAGCGGAGTTAATAATATCCGTTGAATCCAATTACGGGGATGTGATCCGAAGGTTTTAAAGGCAGTCCGCGTGCGTTCACGGGGAATACGTACGGGTGATCCGCGCGGTATTTACGATCGTTCGATATTCACGGATACGCTTGTCGTAACACCTACACCTGCTCGCGTGTATATATGTACATGCACACGTATACACGTGTACGCGTATACACGAGTTAATATTTTAGTTGATACAAAAGCGGCGATAAAGACGTTCGAGCACTCACGGCAAATTGTTTGCGCAGACGAACGCGAAAGAGGAATAATGGTTCAATCGAGAGGAAAGTAAAATCCTGCCGTCATCCTGGCGCGTGGCAAACCAGGCCAAAGGCCTGGATCCTCGTCCTCCTCGTCCTCATCCACGGAGAGGCTACAAAGGATGCCAGGGCCGGCTCAAGAGAGGCCCCGGGCGCAACGGCTCACCGACATCGAGCCGCAGGCTGCAAAAGTGAGTCTATTATATCATTTGAACGCAGTTGGTGTACAAATGAATTCGGTGTGTTTTTTTCCTTTGCAGTATTAAGCTTTTTACTACGAATATTCGTTATTTTTTTTATGTCCGTGATGCTTTCTACGAATATAGAGAATAATGGTACATCAATTAAGGGATAAAGCTATTTGGTTCCAATATTTTATGTGTCGTTATATTATACTGTGTTCGATGTTCAATGTCGTATTTTCTGATTTTGCGACGATAAACAGCGTGGCAACTGTGAGTCGACTTTCGAGTTTGAACGATTAATACTATGGGGTTATGATTAATCCTAGGACGTTGAGGAATTATTTAAATTTATATTCGATTTGTACATTTGTCCATTTGATTGAGTGAAATGGTATCGAATTAATTTGTACACGTAACAATATGTTTGCTCTTGTATGCGGTTGTCCAAGATCGTAACTAGTTTATTTTATAGTATCATCGTAATACTCATGTTACTACTAGCACATTCTTTGCGATTTTCAGTGTGAGATTTCAATTACGTGCGAGAGATATTGTTGTACATTGAGTAAATAGGAAATTCAAATCTCTGTTTCGATTATTATTGACACCGAATGTGCTTACGCATACCTACCTTTTACGGTGATAGGAATAATTCCACTGAGAAACTGATGTTATGTAAGAAATGAAACTATTTCTTTGTGAGTGGAGTCGAGCTACAGATGTTGAGTTGTGTTTAGTGGCGTCATTTGAACTAGGTTGTTTTTCTATGGTTGCAAAACTTGCGAAAAGTTTGCAAGTATTGAGTTGATTGAGAGTGTAAATTTGGGGTGCGTCATTGCCAGCTTATGAATGTTTTGCAAGTATTGCGTTCAGTGACTGACTGCTCGTGAGAGGGTTTTAGGACTACACTTCCAAGGAGAAGGTAATGTGGGGGTACGTACGCGGCGGCTTCCAGAATTGAGTGGAACGATGGAACTATGTTATTGGTTGATGACACTGAGGAGTGAGATGTGGTAAGGGTGCGTGCGTCACCGACTCCGCGTCGAGAAGGTCCCGTTAGACTGTAGGGGAGTGGGCCCGCTTTACCGTGAAGGAGCGGGCCCGCACGCAAGGGACGGTGCTCGAGCAGCGTTCGATTACCCGGATTGAGGTCAATCCTCCCTTACCCAAAAGTTTTGGAAATCCTGTGCTAAAATTAGCATGATGTGGATTGAGATGTAGGAAATTCCTGGTTCAGACTGTGCTCCGTCACATTGGAAATTGGAAATCTCAATGTTTGATTAATCCCAGTGAACTGCAAAGTATTGAGAATAGTGAGATGCTTTCTGAATGTTGCGCCGCAAAACAGATATTATCTCAAATCAAATGATTAAATGAAGGCTATAAATTAATTTCGAACGATGTCTGATATTTGTAAACTTCGGTAACACTCTTATAACACTTCTTGTGCAAGATCTTCTTAGTCAGAAAGAGTAGACAAAAATCGTATGAAACCGTGGAATAACTATTTTCTATTTGGGGCTTCGTTTTCGATGGAATTAAACTTGAAAATTCCTCGACTTCGAGGATAACTATCGACAAACAAATTCTGAATGAAAATCCATCGCTTCATATTTGTGGTTTATTCTTGCGCAAGGAATTCTGTTTTGCTTCTTATATTATTCATTTCATTTAATATATACCTAGATAGAGAACGTATATTTTCTCTCAGTTTCCTAAATTATTTCAATCAATTCAACTTGTTATTCAGTAGGTGACGCATGTAGGTCAAATCACATTTACTCTCATCTAAGATACTCCAATCGATCCAACGAATAAATGAGAAACCCGAATTACATGAACCGAAGGGCTGTGAGATCAATCTAGGCGTGGGTAGACGCGAATAGCATCAATTCAAGAAACAGGGGTTCGATTCTGGGAAACCAAGAACTAACAGGATTCAGTTTGAGTAACCTAAAACTGTCGTACAAATTGGATTCAGAATAAAACTGAGCGATTTAGAATAAAACTTGGACTAGTATTGATTTCAATTTTCATAAAATATACATACCCTTTTTTTTATTCAAGTTTCATAAAATATACATGGTCTCTTTTTACTCATCCTTTATGAATTATACATGTTCCTTTTTTATTCGCTGGTCATAAAACATGGTCTGTTTTTATTCAATTTTTATAAATTGTTCACGTCCATTTTTTATTCACCTCCCAATCATACATAGTTTTTTCGACGTGAATCGTTACAGACAAAAAGTTAAAAGAATCCCTTTACGCTGCACCGTACAAGTTAGTCGCATCCTCCACTTACCTTGATCTCCCTTTCCTTTTCGTTTTACCCCTCGAGGGTATCAGCCGTCTTTCTGTTAATTACTTGCGTGACCCTCGCTTGCCGTAGGTCGGAAACCACATCATACATCATGCTCCTTTTTTCTTTTAATCTTCATCGAAATTACGTCTTCGTTTAACTTTCTCCGCATCTGTTTACTTTCTCTTTTTACCGGAGACAATAATTTTCATATATGGAGCTCGTATCGTCACTTTACTCCGTCAAACATCTCCTGTAATGTATACATACATATGTATCGGTATTTCGAATTTTTATCCAAGTTTCTACTTTCATGGATCATTTAAATAACAAAATAGACTAAACGAAAAACTGTTCTTTTGAATACAAAAATTCTTCATGGTAAAAATAAGATAGAAATATCATTGAAATTTTTTACTATACAGGTTTTCTTGTATTTTACAAACTTACAAATGCCGCGAATGATTAAACACGATAAATGTCCGTCAAAAATCTAGAAAAGCTTAACAAAAGCAACAGAAATTCTAAAAAATCGATAAAAAAACCCTGAATCGCTAGAGGCTTAACAAAATAAAACAAACTCATAAAATTCTTTAACCCCTTAATCCTAGATAATCAAACTTAAATTAATGTTATTATGTAACTAAATATTTGACGCATGTACTACAAATTAAAGACATGCATATTTTTATATTTCGTCCATTCATTTCAAACAAAGTAGCACAGCTTAAGAGATATTATTAGATTTTAATTAGAAAATAGAAGAGCATATAAAATTTAGACGCCATACGGCGCGGTCGCAAAACTTTCTATGCAAGTATTTGTTATGATTAGAAAACTAATTATGTTGTAAAAAAAAATAATAAACTCAAGGGAGAAAAAGAAGCTGAATTAAAGCGCGTTAATCAGTTAACTGCGTTTGTCGAGTATACATGTAATCTTAAAACTCAAAATGATATTAATTTCTTCAACGAATCAATTTCATCGATTATTTATTTTTTCATATGACCAGGTAATTCTTCTTCGTGTTGGTTTAGTTTGTCGTTAGAATATATTATAGGTGCATTTGTCTTGTCTTTGATAAGTATATTCTACATTCTGATTGTGATTTTTCAAACTAAATTCTACAGTTAACAAGTTAGATCGCGAGAAATCTCGGAGAAAAACTCCGCGTTGCAATGTTGACTCCCGTAAAAAAATTCTCCAGTTAAGGGGTTAGTACTGAACTACATGTCTCAAATAAATTCTATATTCTCCACCAGGATCTTAATTAAATTCTTTCTCATTTTTGTCCAACATATCCGGTGGGTTCATGAGCATTTTTCTCGGCTTCCGCTTGAGTGAATGCGCGGTTCCGTTTCCTTTGATTCCCGGCCATCAATAATTTCGACGATCAGACTCGCCCGGGTAAGTGAATAAAAGCGTTCGCGCGTGACCGGGGACGAATCATCCGAGTTTTTCCCGGTTTTCGTTTCTCCTCTCAGCCGATAAGGAACCGGCGGTGTTCGCGTGCGGTTTTCGGAGAGGCTGCTAAAGCCGCATTCACGGGAGAATGCGGAAGTTGCTTCTATTTCGCTCTGGTCTCGTTCGTCCATCTCGCTAGCGTGAGAGCAAATCGATAGGGCTTCGCTGCTACCGTCGCACATATACACGGTGTCTCGATAATTGTGATGATACAGTAGAATACCGATAATCTAAACTACTGTAGCATTTTGATTTACCGAGTCACTATTTTCGCGATATAGATCGTTCACAGTTTTAGTTACCCGCAAACTCAGAAATTTATTCGTAGATTATTGAACATGCTTTGAAGAATTTCTTTTGGGGTCTCCTTTTATCTGAGTCATTATTATCCGATTAAATCGGTTAATTGAGATTCTATTGTAATTGGGAGACAAATCCATTTTTCGAATAATCGGTTTGAAATGACTGAATTTATGAATTAAACATGGGAACGGAAAAGTGAATTAAACAGTTTCATTTATACTCTTTTTGATGCATTGAATAATATTTATTTTGCAATTTCGCCATTAGTGGTTTCTTTCAGCACTTTTGATATAAATGAAATCTAACTGTGTACATTAAACTCAGACAGGACATTAATATAAGACACTTGAAGTAGGAAGGAAATGTGTTTGAAAACGTGGACATTGGTGGATACGTAGTGTAATTTGCATAATCGAAACTCAGATAATCGGTAATCGGATAAATGTTGTTCCACTGAATTTGGAATTGGATTTTGTATTAGCCGCTCAGATCGCATCGATTCACAAGGTATATAGTAAAATTTTCTCAATAACGGAAACTAAGCAAAGTTTTTGCAGAGTTACTTTGCCACAGTGAAATTTGTTGAATATTTATAATTAATTACAAAAGTAACTGCCGTAAATGATATATCAATTTACGCCACTCTCCCCTATCAAGGTCAACCAGATGTAGTTAATCGCAAAATGGATTTTTTAAGGCATCGAGTACATCGATTGAAGGGAATGTGGGAACGAAAAATAAGTCTCATGTTTTCTCGATTTGTTTATAAATATTTAAGCTTTAAATACTCTTCGAAGTTTTAAAGAAGTCGAAACGATTTCAGCACTCTTTTGTTTATCATGTGTCTAATTCTTCTATGAACTGTGAATTTTTATCTTCAACTGGAATTTGAATTTTAGAAATCTACTCTTCGAAACCGTTCTGTTTGTTATGTAAC